CACTCCCCCTGCTTGTGTTCCCTCTCTAGCTATATCTCTGTCAAATAAATAAATAAAATCTTAAAAAAGAAAAGAAAAGATTGCAGGGTTGTGCTTTGTGTTCACAAGTGGCTCGGAGGTGCCTCTTCTGAAGATGCTTCCACCATGGAGGGCAGGGTATTCCAGCAAGAAAACCGATAGGTGAGGGTGGTGAGGACAGAGGGAAGAAGATCCTGGGAGCCAGCCACCCCAGACCAGGGACTCGGAGTGTGCCTGTCCTAGCTTGTCCCTGTGGGCAAGGTCTTTGGAGGATAGGCATGCTAGCTCTTTCACATCCAGCCCATGAGGAATTCAACAAGGGCGTTAAGTTCCTAAAACTTAGCTTACAAAACAAAATAATAACAAATGTTAAATTCTAAGCTCTTTGTGTCTCTGCAGTCCCTTCTTTAGTTCCTGTCTGTTGCTGGCTGCTCAGTCATCACGAGAGCCAAAGCCTGCTTGGCACAGAATGTCTCACTGCAGTGTGGCTTCTTTCCCGTTAAGCATCCAGTGCTGCTGAGAACATTGATCTATTCTGGTTTTGTTTGGGTTATTCCCTGAGGAGATTTCCAAAAATGAAATTCCTGCATCTGAAGAATGACTGTGGCTGATGGATGGGTGGGCACTGGTGCAGGCACCCCCAGGGTGGGTGCGGTTTGTATTTGGCCATGTGTTGGGGGTGGCATAGCCTTCACAGTCTGCTCTGATACTCAGTGATGGTGATTCTGGCTCTGGGGCTATCTGAACAGGACTGGGCATGCCCACCTATTCTCCCTTCCTGTCTAAACTCCTGGGTTGGGGTGCCTGGGTGGCTCAGTCAGTTAAGTGTCTAACTCTTGATTTTTGGCTCAGGTCATGATTTCAGGGTTGTGAGATCGAGCCTCGCATTGGGCTCTGTGCTGAGTGTGGAGCCTGCTTAAGATTTTTCTTCCCCTCGGGGCGCCTGGGTGGCTCAGTTGGTTAAGCGACTGCCTTCGGCTCAGGTCATGATCCTGGAGTCCCGGGATCGAGTCCCACATTGGGCTCCCTGCTCAGCAGGGAGTCGGCTTCTCCCTCTGACCTTCTTCCCTCTCGTGCTCTCTGGCTCTCATTCTCTCTCTCTCAAATAAATAAATAAATAAAGTCTTTAAGGAAAAAAAAAAGATTTTCTCCCCCTCTCTCTGCCCCTCCCTCCCCTTATTTAAAAAACAAACAAACAAAAACAACTCCTGTGTTTTTCTCACAGAGCAAAGCGTGGAGGTGGGCATCAGAATCATGGGGGTCAGGGTGGAGGAGAGGGTATCTTACTAAAAGCCGGTTTTGGTGCCCTGGATGGCTCTTTTTACCTGCCTGACAGTTGTCAGGTTTGAGGGCCACAGTGTTTAGCACATCTTTGCATGCGGTCACAGACTTGTTCAAAACTAGTTAGTACCACTTTTTGTATTTGTTTTGTTCCATATTTTTTTTAATCAGAATACAGGTGTCTTAGTTCCTTTGGGCTGCTATAGTAAAATACTGTAGACTAGGTAGCCTATAAAACAACAGACATTTCTCACAGTTCTGGAGGCTGGAAGTCTGAGATCAGGGAGGACCTTTTCGGGTTGCAGACTTCTTGCTCTGTCCTCACGTGGTAGGAGTGAGGAAGCTCTGTCAGGTCTCTTAAAAGGGTATTGATCCCATTGTGAGGACTCCAGCATCATGACCTAAGCATTTCCCAATGGCCTCACCTCCTAACACTATCCCACTGGGCATTAGGATTTCCCCATATGAATATTGGAAGGACACAACCCTTCTGACCCTAGTAACAAGCATCCTGGTATGCTTTTACTTGGTCCTTCTAGGTAGAGAGCCTTGGTTTCCGTGCTTTTCTAGGACTCCCCCCCCATCCCCAGGAATCTTCCCCTTTGCCCTCTCCACCCACCTCCATGCCTCACTCATACTGACAGCCTGGTTTTTTGAGTTAACCTAATTGAATGAGCACCGCAGCATTTGACTCTGCCTCTTGCTGTCCTCTTGATGCCCGAAGAGGAGGGGTGTGATCTCCCTGTTTTATAGGTGAGGAGAAAGCACATATACACACTTCTTGGCCCTGGGGGCATTGTTTCTGAAAAAGGACGTCGTGGACATGCTCTTCGCGTCCCATCGTTTCACTTACCCATTGGCTGTCTCGCACAGCTTAGATCTTTTGGGGTGCATGGCCTGTCTGGAAGGACTATGGATTGGCAGTGGCACCATCCTTGAGTCTGCATCCATTCCGGGGGAGCACCCACTGTTGAATGGTGTATCTGCTTCATCTGCATCCTGCCAGGTGGCTTTCCTGAGAAAGAGTGTGAAGTATGGTCTCATAGCTCTTTAATTTCGTTCACTTCCTCAGCAAACCTTGGGCTGCTGGCTGCTCTGCTGGGACGCGGAGGGAGAAAGAGACTGGACGACGCAGAGGCCCTCAAGGTGGGGTTCAGGAAGGGCCTCAGCGAGAGGGTGATAAGGCCAAGCGCCGGCCAAAGGGCAGGAGCCTCCCTAGCAGAAGGGAAGCCCAGAAAGGGTTCTGAGCAGCCTTGGAGCAGCCGTGGAGGGGCCAGGAAGGGTTTGAAGCCAAGGACAGTCATTGTTCCCACCACTGGAGGGAGGGGCAGGTGCACAACCCTTTTGCCACAGGGCCGGGTTCTGGGTGTATTTGGAGGGTAGATTAGGAGTGAAAGAGTGAGGAGGAGGGGTGGCTGGGTGGCCAGTCTGTTGAGCATCTGACTCTTGGTTTTGACTCAGGCCATGATCTCGGCATCATGAGATCAAGCCTTGTGTTGGGCTCCGCTCTCAGTGGAGTCTGCTTGAAGATTCTTTTGCTCTGCCCTTCCCCCTGCCTGTGCACACTTGCGTGCACTCTCTCTCAAATAAATAAATCTTTTTTTTTCTTTTTTTAGATTTTTATTTATTTATTTGACAGAGGGAGAGAGACAGCGAGAGAGGGAACACAAGCAGGGGCAGAGGCAGAGGGAGAAGCAGGCTTCCTGTGGAGCAGGCAGCCCGATGCGGGGCTCGATCCCAGGACCCCAGGATCATGACCTGAGCCGAAGGCAGGTGCTTAACTACTGAGCCACTCAGGCACCCCTCAAATACATAAATCTTTAAAAAAAAAAAAAAAGCCAAATTCCTTCTGGGGTCAGCCATACCCGTCTCCAGCACCCACTGGGGAGATCCTGAATGGAGTTCCTAATCCTGGCCCAGTTGCAGTGGGGCCATAGTGCAGATGACTGCCTACTTGCACCAGGTCCCCAGGGGACCAGGGCTGGATTATCCATGAAGGTCAAATTCTCATGCAGATGAGGATTGATGGAGGCCCTGGCTGAGGGCACAATGTCCAGGAGACCTAGTGGGGACTGAGCTGCAGGAGGACAGGGTGACCAACTGTCACCACTGCCAACAGTGGACAAGGATCTGGCCACATGGAGGTCATAGAAGACCTGGACCAGGGGCGCTTTGGGGTAGGTGGGGAGGGTGGAGACCACACAGGGAAAGCAGCTGGACAACGCCATGGGGAAGATGACTGACCAGGAGAGATGGCAGGTCTGTGGGCTGCTTGAGAGGGTATGGGTGTCCGGTACACCATCAGTAGGGCAGGAGGCAGAGCAGGTGGTGGCAGTGACTTTCTCATCGTTGTTCTGAGACCTGGTGAGGCAGCCCCCCCTCCCCCAGTTCTGTCAAATCTTATTCTTACCTGTTTTCCAGCATCTGTTGTTCATATGAATGTTAAGGTAGTTTTACTTTTTTAAGACTCCTATTAGAATCCCAGTTCTAATCTAATTGGAATTAGATTTCTGTTGCATTGACACAACCACACACAGATTTGGCAGGAATGGGCATTCTTGGTGAACAGAGGGATGGAGAGAGGCCAGCCTCTCTCCACCCGAGTCTACTATCATGTTCCTCAGAGGCAGCTGCAGTTAGGAGTTCCATGTGTATATTCCCAAAAGCTCTCTATGCAAACATACGCATACATCTGATGTTCTACAAAGAAAATGGGGTTGTAGTGCTTCCTGACTTTCTGACCCCAAGCCTTCCCTTTAGGCAGTCCACAGTGTGAGGCATCCTGTTTGTCAAGGTGATCTTGTACCATTTTTCTTAGCGTGATCTGCCTGCTAGGTTTCTGTGTCCCTGTTGCAGACCCCCTGTGACACTCCCAAAAGATGTGAGCCCCATTCCCACATTAGGAGAGCTCCTAATGCCCCCCCCGTTTTTTCCAGTAATTTAAATATGACAGACACCTCAGCTTAATTTGTCATGATATGTCTCCAGAACCTGCCCACCCCCAGGCCTCCCCATAGTGCTCAGACCAAATCCCTGGATGACTCTGGACTTAATCTACCAGAATCAACCATGTGTCATGCCTCCGTTGCCAATCCCTGGTGGAGCTACCACCAGGCTGATGGCCCCAGCCTCACTAGAGCACAACGGCACAACCAGGGGAGACTGAGGCATCAGCAGGCCCATAGGAGTTACGGTCAAGTGAAATATGAAGGGCCTGGAGTGTGGACCTCAAGCAAAAGCATCCATTCTCAGCCTGTCTTTCCTGGAGATTATCTCTGGAGGCAGCCTGGCCTGGCACGCACACTGGACCTGATGACAGCTTGGCATCTTTGTGAATACTCTGGCACCAGCCTTTGTGCATGGACTGTGAGCCTGAGCAGATGGCTCCGAGTCCTTGTTAGCTCCCAGCTGACCATGAGGACCCCAGGGTCTGGAGAACAAAACCTTGTGGCTGGAGCCTTGGGGTACACAGGTGTCCCCAAACATCTCAAAGGGGATGTTCCTGGGCTCAATGGTTAGAGTCCAGGGACCATGGTTCCTGAACTGTGGGGTAAGAGTTGCGGGGCGGGGGGGGCTGCTGGACTCCCAGAACTCAGGATCTGGGAGGGCAAGGCTGGGCCCCTCATGTGCTCCCACCTCTTCCTCAGCCCCACAGGCTCCTCTTGACTTCCATCTTCCTCAGAAACCTCAGAGGATCAGGGATGGCAGCGGCCAGGCTCCTGCCACCACCAGCAGGACCCCAGGTGAGCTGCTCCCGAGGCCTCTACATTTCCTCATAGCCCTCCCATGCCCGGGGCTCCAGGTGGTAGCCTGAGTGTCACTGCATCTATTAGATTCTGTGGGCTCTTCCTATTACTGCCCCCCACCCCCACCAAGCTGTTCACATGTGCTTCCCCTACCGTCTAACCAAGGGCATCTCCACTCCCCCCACCCTACACTGCTCCGTCTCAGATGTGGAGACTTAGTCCAACCTGCAGCAGCCCCTGTCATTCCAGGCCAAGGTGACCTTTGAGGATGTGGCCGTGCTCCTCTCCCAGGAGGAATGGGACCGCCTGGGCCCTGCTCAGCGGGGCCTCTACCGACACGTGATGATGGAGACCTATGGGAACGTGGTATCACTGGGTATGGCCCCTCAGCAGCCCTCTTCTGTGTCTGTGTGCTTGGCCAGGGGTGGGGGCCCTGTGCTGGGGGTTTTGGGGTCGCCTCCAGGTATTCAGCTCTTAGAGGAATGTAAGTCCTGTCTGTCTCATGCCTGCATGTCACTCAGGTGGGGTGGGGGTGTTCACAGATATTGTATTGACAAAAGGCCTTCCCTCCCGTGAGCAGGACTTCCAGGATCAAAGCCCAATGTGATCTCTCAGCTGGAGCGAGGAGAAGAGCCATGGGTCCTGGATGGGCAAGGGGCTGAGGAGTCTAGGGGCCTGGGGAGTGGCCATTCAGGTGAGTGAAAGGAGCTGGCCCTCCTTGACTTGGGGTTAATCAGTTCCGGGTGGCTGTGGGCACTGACAGGTGATAGCAGGAGTAGCTACCACCTGGGGCCTCTTCTGGCAGAGGCTTAACTCAGTGAATTGCACTACTCTCGAGAAGTGTTTTGTTGTCCCTTCAACTCTTTTCCTTTTGCAGACAACTACAGACATGACCACATGACAGCTCGTATGCGACAAGACAGTTCACCCTGTCCGTGGGGTAGGTGTATGTCTCATCTTTTTAATCCATACAATCCCTGCAGGTGTTAATGCTCATGATTCACCAGAATGTAAAGAAATTTCCTGGGGTGCTCTGATGCAGAAAATGTTCTTGTTACACAACACATACAATCTCTACAAAACTGTCGGGAGGGGTTTTCTAAATTAAAAATTTGTTTCAGTGGAATTGTTTTTTTTCCCTTTGTCTTGTCACATGTAAAATATTCTTCCCTAGTCTGTCCTTGAAACAACTGAAGCCATGATTCTGAAAATGAGGGCTCTGCTTAGGCCATCTCCTGCACCAAGCGGGCACAGGGTGGCCTGGCGCTGGCACTGACAGCAACTTGAGTCTGTCTGTGAACATGAAAGTTTGATCATGCGTTGATTTAATGCCATGGATGACTGAGTGAGTAACCTGTACAGTTAGTTTTTAACTTATTAAAGTCATCTTGCTCATCTTGTTACTTTGGCATCAGGGAAGAAACTACCTATTTAGGAAACTTCAAACAGTAGAAATGATATTTTTCAGTGCAAATGGGTAATTATTTCTTTGGCTTTGATATACTAGCTTTATTCTATGACAATGAGGCTTTATAAGTCAAAAAACAAACTGTTTCCCAGTTTAAAAAAAAATAACCTTTTAAAAATAAGATGTATAAAAATTTTACTAAATAGATGAAAGTAAACCCAAATTTTTTATTATTTTTTTATTTATTTTTTTTAGATTTTATTTTTTTATTCATAAGAGACAGAGAGGCAGAGGGAGAAGCAGGCTCCCCGCCGAGCAGGGAGCCCGATGCAGGGAGCCCGATGTGGGACTCGATCCCAGAACCCTGGGATCATGATCTGAGCCATTCAGCACCCTAAACCCAGATTTTTTAAATGAAGAACCTATCAGTGTTACCATTTTTGAAACAGTATACACTTAATAATTGTTCTGAAGAGGAAAAAAATAAACAGAAATATCCAATAGGAAAAATGGGCACAAAACTTGAACAAGTTCTGACAGAGGAGGAAAACCAAAGGGCCAATAAATGTGAGAACATGCTTGGCCTCATTATTCATCAGTAAAATGGAAATCAAAACCATAATGATTTACCATGTTAACACCTTCAGAATGAAAAAAACAATGGAAGGATCTGGCTATCAAGTTTGAACGAGGATGTAAATATGCACACTCACCTTAGAAACCAGTTTGGCATTATCTGACGAAGTTGAAAATACAGATCCCTGTGTCAAATGTTCCACTCTTGTGTATATAGTAAGGATGTTTGTTTGTAAGCACCAAGAAACATACACAAGAATCTTAATAGAAGCATGCTTCATGGGGCGCCTGCGTGGCTCAGATGGTTAAGCATCTGCCTTCAGCTCAGGTCATGATCCCAGGGTCCTGGGGTCGAGTCCCACATCGGGCTCCCTGCTCCGCGGGGAGCCTGCTTCTCCCTCTGCCTCTCTCTCTCTCTGTCTCTTATGAATAAATAAATAAAATCTTAAAAAAAAAAAAAGCATGCTTCATGATAGAAAAAATTGGGAATGACCCAATGTCCATCAGCAGTAGAATAGACAGAAGAATAAACTGGTGTTTTAATAGGAAAGAACGTGTTGTAGTGAAAATGGTTTAGTAACTGCTATGGAACGATATGATGAATCAGAAACACAGTGTTGAGAGAGGAAAGCAAATTGAAGAAGACCAGGTACCATGAAATTATAAAAATGTTGGAAATATGCCTAATCAAGTTATTGTTTAAAGATACAAATTTCTGAGATAAAACTACTAAAAAACAACGTAAAAACGACAAGATACATGAAAACACAGCTCTCAAGTTGTTGGGCATCATTCTCTCAGTGGAAATCAATCAGTGAAGGAAATTAATCCCCGAGAGACAGGAAACAAAGGGGTGATCTCTACAGTTGCCCCAGCTCACAACTTGAAGAAGATTACAGTGCAGGGAGGGGAACTCTGGCAGAGCCCAGTGGTCTCCCAGACTTGAGGACACATAGCCAGGAGTCCAGAGACACCAGGGAGGCTAGAAGTCCCACAGAAGAGTCCATTTGACAAAGAGAGCTCTGGAGATCTGCAGGGAGAGCCCTTGAGTATTAACACTTGCAAGGAAACTGTCAAATGCCAGGAAAGGGCCCCCTCTTTAGAAGGAGTGGCAGCTACAGTAGCCAGGATTTAAGATGGTCTTAAAATAGAATGAATGTTTGTGCCCCTCTCCCATTTTAAACCCCAATGTGAATGTATTGGTGATGGAGCCTTTATGGAAGTAATTAAGGTTAAGTGAGGTTATAAGAGTAGGGCCTTGATTTGCTAGGATTAGTGTCTTTTTTTTTTTTTTTAAAGATTTTATTTATTCGACAGAGAAAGACAGAACGAGAGAGGGAACGCAAGCAGGGGGAGTGGGGGAGGGAGAAGCAGGCTTCCCGCTGAGCAGGGAGCCCGATGTGGGGCTCGATCCCAGGACCCTGGGATCATGACCTAAGCCGAAGGCAGACGCTTAACGACTGAGCCACCCAGGCGCCCCAGATTAGTGTCTTTTTAAGAAGAGGAAGAGAGACCAGAGCTCTCTTTCTTGGCACACACAACCTCCGAGACCACTGCCCCATGATGTACGTGCCCTACTGCATAATCCCCAGGATTGTGAATATGGGTTTTACTCTTATGATTATGTTATGTTAAGCTTTTGCTTTTAAGGGATGGAGAACCCTCTAACTATGGGTCTGGAGGTCAGAGACAAGTCAGAATGGGAAGGATTTGATGCACCATTGCTGCCTTGAAGGGGGCGGGGCCACATGGCAAGGAATGCAGGTAGCAATTAGGAGCTGAGAGTGGCAAGGAAACAGTCACCTTAGTCCCATAGCTATAAGGGGCTAAATTTTGACAACAGTAAGAAAGCTTTGAAGTACATTTATTGCCTGAGCCTCCACACAAGAATTCAGACTAACATGTTATTTCAGCCTTGTGATACATTGAGGAGAGAACTCACTTGTGCCATATAGCTACAGAACTATGGGCTAGTAAATACAGTGTCCAGTGCTCACAGAGGCCGGGAATGCTGTCTGCTCCCAACAGCAAGAGTGGGAAACCTGTAACTCACAGGATCATCAATTAGCTAACTAGTGGGGGAAAGAGCCCTAACCACTACTCTGGTCTGATCTGACAAAGTTGAAAGGCAAGAACCATACATGCTACTTCGAAGTAACTTAACCAAGAATACTTAAGCTGTAGAATATTTCTTTTTTTTTTTTTAAGATTTATTTATTTTTGAGAGAGAGAAAGAGCAGGGGGAGGGACAGGGAGAGAGAAACTAAAGCAGACTCTGCACTGAGCGAGAAGCCTGACACAGATCTCAGTCTCACGACCCTGAGATCACAGCCTGAGCTGAAACCAAGAGTCGGACATTTAACCAGCAGTGCCACCCAGGCACCCCAAGCTCAAGAATATTTCTAGAAATAAAAAATACCCAGCATCAAACAAGGTAAAATTCATAACATCTGACATCAAAAAGTTACCAGACATCCAAAGAAGTAAGAAAATACAACCATAATTAAAAAACAGTCCTGTTAAACTGACCAGAAATGACATCAGTGACAGAATTGGGAGACAAGGATATTTAAATTTATTCCATATGTTCAAGGACTAGAGGGAATACTGAGCATATTAAGTAGAAGCATGGAAGATATGTGAAAGACCCAGATCTGATTTTTTTTTTCTTTATTGATAGAGACACAGCGAGAGAGGGAACACAAGCAGGGGGAGTGGGAGAGGAAGAAGCAGGCTTCCCGCGGAGCAGGGAGCCCAATGCGGGGCTCGATCCCAGGACCCTGAGATCATGAGATCATGACCTGAGTGAAGGGAGCGTCTGAAGGCAGACGCTTAAGGACTGAGCCACCCAGGTGCCCCCCAGATCTGATTTCTAGAGATGAAAACAACAATGTCTGAGATGAAGAGTTCAGTGCGTAAAATTAGTGGCAGATTAGACATTGCATAAGAAAAGATTAGTGAAAACAAATTCATTTTGAAACTACTGAAAAGGAAGCAGAAGGAAAAAAAGACTACAGAATATCAGGGAACTGTGGGACAATCTGAAATAGCCTAATACATGTAGCTGAAGCCAACAAAGGAGGGATGGGAGGGTCAGAAAAAATATTTTAAGAAATGATGGTTGAAAATTTTCCAAATTTGTTGAAAAGTATAAACTTCACAGATCTAAGAAACTCAAGGAACCCTCTACCTAATAAATGAATAAAATTACACTAAACTACATCATAATCAAAAGAAGTGTTGTAACTAAGAAGCCAACAAAGGAGACAAAATAGAATCATGAAAAGTAACTCGATTTTTTTTAAAGGAGAAAGAGAAGAGGAAACAAACCACAGATGTTTAGTGACTGCTCTAGGGTTTACAATACACATCTCTCACCATCGTTTACCTTCCAAAAACGGCACCATTTCATAGGTAGCATAAGACTTAGAACGGTAGACTTCTGTATTAGTCCGCTCAGGCTGCCATAATAAAAGGCCATTGATGGAGTGACTTAAACATCAAAAATTTTGTTCTCACAGTTCTGGAGGCTAGAAGTCCAAGACAAAAGTGCAGTTGAGTTTGTGGTGAGGGCTTTCTTCCTTGCTTGCAGACAGCCACATTCTGGTGCTCACATGGCTTCTTTGTGTGCCTGTGAGTGTGGGGTGGGGGGAGGTGGGAAGCGAGTAACGCTGGTGTCTCTTCTTAATCGGGCACTAATCCCATCGTGGCGGCCCTACCCTAGTGACCTTGTCTAACCCTAATCACCTCCCAGAGGCCCCACCACCAAATATTATATGAGGGGTTAGGGCTTCAACATGTAAATTTGGGGGAGGGGGAACACAAAGACACAAACATTTGATCCATTTTACAACCCTGTTCCTCTGTCCCAGATTCTGTGATCGTGTCGTCATAAGTTCTACTCCTGCATATGTTAGAAACCCACAGTGCATAACTATTTTTTTAAGTTTATTTAAGTGATCTCTGCACACAACATGGGGCTTGAACTCGCCACCCCAAGATCAAGAGTTGTTCCCCAGCACATAAGTATTTTTGCTTTGGACAGTTCTCTTTTAGAGTGATTTAGAAAACTTTTTTTACATAGTCTTATATATTTACTTTCATTTTAACCATTTCCAAAAGCCTTTATTTCCTTGTGTAAATCCGACTTTCTGTCAGGTATATTTCTGCAGCCTGAAGAATTCCCTTTAACATTAGTTTGGATTTGATTGTTGGGTGTTTTCTCCAGTGGTGTTTGTAAATTAACAAGTTTTTTCTTTTCTGCACTTTACGGATGTCAGTCCATTGTCTTTGGCTTGTTTCTGATGATGAGTCCACTATAACTCTTTACATTCGTTCCTCTGTGTCGTGTGTGTTTTTCTTCAAACTGCCTCTAAGATTTCCTCTTTGGTTTTTAGCAGTTTGAATATGATGTATCTAAGTGGTATTTTAAAATAACATGTTTGTGATTCTAATATCTTGGATCTGTCTTTTGATGTCTTCCATTATTTTTAGAAAAATCTCAGCCATTATCTTTTCAGATATTTTTGCTTTCTGTTCTCTTTCTCTTCTGCAATTCCAACTACATGCAGGTTAGGCCATTTGATATTGACCCATACTGGTTTTATTTTTTGTTTCATACATTTCTGTCTCTGTTTCTTTTTCTTTTTTTTTTTTTTTTCTTTTTTTAAGATTTACTTATTTATTTGAGAGAGAGCACAAGCCGGGGGAGCAGCAGGCAGAGAGAGAAGCAGACTCCCCACTGAGCAGGGAGCCCGACATGGGGCTTGATCCCAGGACCCTGGGATCATGACCTGAGCCGAAGGCAGATGCTTAATGACTGAGCCACCCAGGTGCCCCAAAAGTTACAATTTTATAGATTACCTGACTTTTTCTTGCTGTTAGGGTGGAAGTGACATTCTTTCCAGCTTTCTCCCTCCTGGGGGAATTCAGTTAATACATAATTAATAATAAGTAGCATAATAATATATATTGTTTTACATAATGTATAATAATGGTGATATTAACAGTAAAAGGGACATGGGATTGGTCAGTGTATCCCCCCGACCTTGTATGTCAGACTGGGGTTTATGTGCTTCTGTTGGTCATGGTGAGGAGCTCTCCAGTGCCACTGATGAGCAGGCAGTGCTGGGGCAGAGGGACATGGGACAGTATGCTGTCCCAGGGCACCTGGGTGGCGCAGTCAGTTAAGCATCTGACTCTTGGTTTCAGCTCAGGTCACAATCTCATGAGTCTTGGGATCGAGCCCCACATCAGGCTCCACACTCAGCGTGGAGTCTGCTTATGACTCTCTGCCCCTCGGCCTCTCTCTCTCTCCCTCTTTCTCTCAAAAATAAATAAATCTTTAAAAAATTTTTTTTTAAAACGGTAAGCTGTCACATGGTAGTCTAATAGGAACAAGGGCTTGGACACTGGTGGGGAAAGAGGAAGATAAGGGATCAAAAAAGAGATGTGGATCCTGAAGGCCCACCAGCCACAAGAGGTAGGGGCTTATTCTAGGAGGAAGGAAGAGCCAAGTTCTCTTTTGGACTCCTGACGTGGATGTGCTGGTGGGCCATCTAGATGGCAAGGTCTGGCAGCAAGCAGAGCACCCACCTGAGCCTGGAGAGTACTGGGAGATGGAGGAGTCAGAGTGTCTGTGTCTGGAGGTGCAGCTGAATCTCAGGGTGGGTGTGAAGAGCCAGTTCATCAAGCCTGCAGTAGGACTCCAGCCTCTACAAGGAGGCCCCTCACTCAGGGGAGTCCCCCACTTCCCACTCCTGCCTCTTCTCAGATGATCAGCTGTTGAGGGTTTGCTTCCATCTGGCTGCCACCAACTTCTGCAAGAAGTATGAGCATTTGGTATGTCTTTGCCCCTCCAAGGTACCTAGCTGCCAAAAGGCAACACAGATCAAAACAAGCATATTTTATTTATTGACTACCTTGGCCCAAATCTTTTTCCGAACGCCAGTCAGAAGTCCCATCTTAGAAGGTCCGTTGGCTTTGTGGAGGGACTACTTGGCTTTTTTTTTTTTTTTTTTTTTTTAAGATTTTATTTATTTGACAGAGACACAGTGAGAGAGGGAACACAAGCAGGGGGAGTGGGAGAGGGAGAAGCAGGCTCCCACCGAGCAGGGAGCCCGATATGCGGCTCGATCCCAGGACCCTGGGATCATGACCTGAGCTGAAGGCAGATGCTTAACGACTGAGCCACCCAGGGCCCCGGGACTACTTGGCTTCTGAATCTTTTATTTTTCAAGGGTCAATGTTGGGGGTTCCAGGTGGCCCATTATATCGCATCTGTCTCCCCAGACCAAGTTAGGAACTAATTAAAGAGTGAAGCTCCTCTCTCAATAATGCTGTTACCAGCAAGGTGTGGGAGGTTTGACAGTATCCTTATTCTAGATAGAACACAGTTGGAAAATGACTGGGTGCTATTCAGCATGCTTTCTAATAACCGCAGAATGAGACCTACTTCCCACCTGATTGAGGCAGTGAAGGGCCACCACAGGCCCCCATGCTGGGGACTGCTTCTGAACGTGAAGGAGCAGAGCAGAATATGGTTCCCTGAGCTGAGAATGCCCAATTCTTACGCACATGAACCAGTGAAATAAGTTACTCCACCTACCCTGGAGAGAAGGGAGAGCAAAGAAGCAGTCAACACATATGCACACACGCACATTTGGATGCCCTCCTAGCTCCTGATCTCAATATTGCTGGGTCAGCATTTGTAAATTTCCCCTCGGGCTGCTGACCCCTCAGTACCTGTCATAGACCTTGAGTGTGTCTGTGAGAATTCTCTCAGATCTTCCTCTGCCTAGAAGGCTTTGAATTCTGGAATGTCCAAGTGCAACAGTTTTTAATGCTGTTCCTGGCAGAGGTCTTTGGGAAGCTGGGGGTGGCAGCAGGGTGTTTGGAGTTGGCCTCCTAAGCTCCAGCGCTGAGATTGGGCACTTGAGAGTTCACAAGGAGGCCTGGCTGCTGTCATGCAGTCAACCTCTTGCTTCTGGCCCTGGCATGGCATCCGCTCCACCTGTTGGGTGACAGTGATAAAGATCACTCTATGAGCATAGCCCGTCCTCTCACAACATCCCTGATGAAGCCCCTCGAGAAGTCTTGGTCTTCTGACCCGCATCTTGTCATCTCAATGTCTTGAACTCCTAAACACTTGTTCTGTGGAGAGCCTGAATGGCTCAGATGGTAGAGCATGCAGCTTTTGATCTCAGGGTCATGAGTTCAAGTCCCACGTTGGGCGTAGAGCTCGCCACAAAAGAAGTAATCAACACACCGTCCTCCCCCACTCACAGCCCAGAGAGTCCCCAACCTGATACTAAAAACATCTACCCCAGCCTTCTCTGCAATACTTCCTGCTGCCCTGCAGGCCACATTCCAGCCTAGATGTGGCAAGACTCCCATTGTGTCTCTCCTCTTCCCAATGCATTCTCCACAAAGAGGAGGTCACACTCCCCCACATACAAGTCTTCTCTTCCTGTGTCTTTTGGACGTGCACACAAGAGCTCACACTTCTACCAGCTCCACAGTAGGTGTTGCTGTCTGCCCAACAAGGCTCTCTGCAGCCCTGGGTGGGTTTAGGGTTAGATGATGGCCTCTGGAAGCCCTGTACATAAAGATTCCAGGGAGGAACGCCTGGGTGGCTCAGTCGGTGAAGCATCTGCCCTCTGGTCAGGTCATGATCTCAGGGTCCTGGGATGGAGCCCCACATCAGGCTCCCTGCTCAGTGGGGAGTCTGCCTCTCCCTCTCCCCGCTTATTCTCTCAAATAAAATTTTAAAAAACAAAGACTCCAGGGAGAGTGGGACTTGGGCAGTAATGGGCTGCCACCAGCTGCTGTGTGCCTTATGTCCGTTGACACCTGCCTCTCAAACTGCCCTGTCCGCCTGGGCACGTTTCTAGTTACTGGACACAGATGGGAGTTTCTGCTCCTCTGCAGCTCACACAACCAGGTGCATTCAGGGACCACAGCCCTGCTGGCCACCTCTGGTGACACTTGCTTTGCTGTTTTGAGTGGGTTAGCAGTTAACATTTTTACTTTGGATTTGTTGTTTCAGAATATGAAAACAAGGGAGAGAACCAAAATAGGGATTTGAGTCTGAAGCCATTTATTTCAGAGGAAGTATCAGTGATTCTGGGGGAAACATCCACAGGATGGATTGATCAAAGACGTTATGAACGTGATCAGAGCTTCTGTGTGAGTCCAAGTCCCGTCGGCCGGCCTGAAGCTCAGGTCTTGAGCCAGAGTGTGCCTCTCCCTCAGCATCAGGCTGTTCCCAGTGGGGAGAGACCCTACAGGTGCACCGAGTGTGGGAAATGCTTTGGCCGGAGCTCTCATCTGCTGCAGCATCAGAGAACCCACACTGGAGAGAAGCCCTACGTGTGCGGCGTTTGTGGGAAGGCCTTCAGCCAGAGCTCCGTCCTCAGCAAACACAGGAGAATCCACACGGGCGAGAAGCCCTACGAGTGTAACGAATGCGGAAAGGCCTTTCGGGTGAGCTCGGATCTCGCTCAGCATCATAAGATCCACACGGGGGAGAAGCCCCACGAGTGTCTGGAGTGCCGGAAGGCGTTCACGCAGCTCTCGCACCTCATCCAGCACCAACGGATCCACACCGGCGAGCGGCCGTACGTGTGCCCGCTGTGCGGGAAGGCCTTCAACCACAGCACGGTTCTGCGCAGCCACCAGCGCGTGCACACCGGGGAGAAGCCGCACGAGTGCGCGCAGTGCGGCCGCGCCTTCAGCGTCAAGAGGACTCTCCTGCAGCACCAGCGCGTGCACACGGGAGAGAAGCCCTACACGTGCAGCGAGTGCGGCCGCGCCTTCAGCGACCGCTCGGTGCTCATCCAGCACCACAACGTGCACACCGGCGAGAAGCCGTACGAGTGCGGCGAGTGTGGCAAGGCCTTCAGCCACCGCTCGACGCTCATGAACCACGAGCGCATCCACACGGAGGAGAAGCCGTACGGCTGCTACGCGTGCGGAAAGGCCTTCGTGCAGCACTCGCACCTGACGCAGCACCAGCGCGTGCACACTGGGGAGAAGCCCTACGTGTGCGGCGAGTGCGGGCACGCCTTCAGCGCCCGCCGGTCTCTGGTGCAGCACGAGAGGATCCACACCGGCGAGAGGCCGTTCCGCTGTGCGCAGTGCGGCAAGGCCTTCAGCCTGAAGGCGACTCTGATCGTGCACCTGCGGACCCACACCGGCGAGCGGCCCTACGAGTGCAGCCGCTGCGGCAAGGCCTTCAGCCAGTACTCGGTGCTCATCCAGCACCAGAGGATCCACACGGGCGAGCGGCCCTACGAGTGTGGCGAGTGCGGCCGCGCCTTCAACCAGCACGGGCACCTGATCCAGCACCAGAAGGTGCACAGGAAGCTGTGACCCCCGCTGGCCCCCGGGAGCCCCCACCCGGGAGAAGCTTCTGGCAACTCTGCCGGGTGCCGTTCTCTGGCAATTCAGTGTCCCAAGCACATGTTCCTGTGGAAAAACCAGAGGATGCCTGTTTTGTTTACCCCCACATCCTGAAGTTCTGTTGCACAGTAATCACACAATTGTAGTGAATTTTGGTAAAGACAGCCATCATTCATTCCTTTAACGTGAGACCATCTATTTGAAGTAAGAAACTGAAGGAAGTTAAGACTTAAGGATTTCTTACATTCTAAATAAAGTTTTTTCTTAGAACATGACATGCCTTTCCTAAAAACAGTTATGCTAATTATTGCACATAAATTTGAATTGGATTATTTGCAGTATCACTGTTAGACCACTAAAGTGTTGTGTGGATAAAATGATATAAAAAAAGATTGTCATCAAGTAATGTGGCTAGAAATCCTAAGTGTGTGGAGCCACTTGTTTTGTGTGAACAAAGGAAAAAGTCTAAGGATTAATTAGTGAGAAATGATGTAAACTTAGAAAACACTTCATCTGGTGTTTGAACTTCATTCAGGATCAGAAGGGATGTCCTAACTCTTTTAGTGAAAATTCGACTCAGAAATGGGTCTTTGCCTCAAAACCCACCCTTATGACTTAGAGACCTTGTGCCCCAGAAATCATGGGATGCCTTGGGCCTCCAGACCCCATGTGGTTTGGAGGGGAGCTCTGCATGCAGAGCCCAGACCTCATAGCTGCTGTGTTACTCAAAAGACAGTTCTTTGGTACATAGTCTTAAAACCTAAAATTCTCAAATTCAAATAGCTTTTTTATTATTTAAAATTTCCATTTCTGTGTTTGAGGTTTTTATTTTTTACTCCTGATTGCAAGAGCGTCTAGTATCCATTTTCATGTACTGTAATGAATCTGGTTTATTCATAATTTTTAAGAGGTTTTTTTCCTCTCAAAATCATCAGCTTCTCGGGAGAAATGAAGGACTGTAGTGTTGACCTGTAAGTCCACAGCAATACACTGATGCAGATAAAAGCTTGTTTTCCCCTCTCTGTGATACAGGTGAGCGGAGCCAGCATCACAGGTGAAACTCTGGAAGCTGAGGTAGCAGGTGTACTGCACAGAGGAGATGGGCTCCTGAAAGGAACTGACATCACTGATGTGTACTGCAGAGCAGCTGGGACAACAGGAGCTAAGGCAATTGAAGGAAAAACAGGACTTGGGATCACTAAGGTAGATGCTAGAGAGGAGGTGAGCTCGTTGAGGTATTACTTCAGAGATGGCTGAAACCTCTGAGGAGATGCTGTAGAAGCCAAGCTCATGGTGCGATTCAGAGGAGCTGAAATCCCTCCAATGTTACTGCAGACAGTAGCTGAAATCACTAGAGCCAAACTGCAGATCAATAGAAGTGTTACTGCAGAGAGCAGCTGGCACCGGCAAGGTGCTAGCTCGAAAATCCCCACAGAGGGAAGCCAACAGCCCTTGCTGGCTGACTCTATAGCTGGCGTCTGACTCAGTGACTGCCCTTCAGAGCTCACCACTGTTCAGGGCACAATTCCTAATCCTGTGGAAGAGTTAGAATAAGAAATAGTCATGTTCCAGTCAAGACGAGAATAAGAGTTCAGTTAAATACAATATACAGAAATACTTGTTTGGAAAGACACTATATCACAGGACAACGTAAGTGATACAGTACAAGTCATTCTGGATTGATAAATCTGCCAAATCTAGGGTTTTCGGGGAAATCTGCAAAATGTATAGTTCACTTTTCAACCTTCTTAAATGAAGTGTACTTAATATCATTCTGCCTTTTCTTCCGATCAGCTGCCATTGACCCATTGGTGTGTGTACAGGCTCAGGTATCCATGGAGCTGAAAGGTGAGCTTCAGTGCCCTTCTCCCTGGGCCATGCATTTTTGTCACCTACCTCCCCAAAGACCAGGAGGTAGCACAGAACCTGCTGGAACATATGGGCAGTCTATGTTTTTGGGAAGTGGCATCAGGCACCAAAATGACCTTTGGGGTCCCTTCACCCTGTTAATAGCCTTCTCAGCCGTTAACAGCCCATCTCTGATCAGCAACATATACCACACTTATTTTGGATTTTTTAATTTTTATTTAGACGTCTTTACATTTTATGCATTTAAATCTTTATCCTATTTTTCCTTACTGCTACCAAGAATTTGACACTTAGTTCTCAAATTTTCTATAATTTAGAAAACACCCAGAATTTTATTTCTGTGTACTATGTATAATCTGACATTTCCCAATAAAAAAGGAATGACTGGAACACCTTTTTGTGGGTGAAGGGAGATGAATGATTTTGGTATAAGGACCTACAACAAATCAGCGACCAGAGGACATGAGCTGACAGTTCCCAATAAAGGGAAGTACAATGAGGAGAGCCTGGAAAAGGCTAAATGTGCCAGTTTCAAATAAAAACATACCACCTCCTGATCAATTAGTAAAGGGTATCCTGTAACACACAGAGCTATGAAGGTGTAGGGGCATGGGTGCTCTCATGCCTTGCTGGTGGTATCAGTACAGTCCACCTGTGTCAAGTATAGGGCATGTCAGGACCCGTCACTTCTCTGGAGAAAGATACCTGCACAGCAGGACCCAGCTTGGCAGGTGCCATGCAGTCCAGAGATGGCCCTGAGGGAGACAGGAGCACTCCTAGGGGACAGGCTGGGGAAGCTCAGGCCACCAAAAGCCACTCTGCAGAGGGTTTGGTGGTGAAGGCCCAGGAGGATCTTTCGTGGGAGACGGGCTTGCTCCAGGGCTGAGGAAAATCCCGGGTTGGGGGTGGGAGCAGCACTACTCTGCCCCATCTGGGTGAGTTTGGAGGATAAAAGTTCCTGAGCTGAGAAATGCAGGTCAAGTATAAGGGTTCCCAAGACTGCCCTCCCCTCTGACACCAGTCACAAATTTGGGAACTCCCAAGATCACCCTCAAGTTCAGTAATTTGCTACAAGGACTCATAGAACTCGCCTTGAAACCTGATACATGGTTACAGTGTATTACAGGGAACAGACACAGATAAAATCAGACAAGGGATTGCTTGGGGACAGAATCCAGAAAAGTACCAAATGCAGGGTCTCTGTAAAGTCATGGACATTACTTTCCTGGCTCTGATGTGTGACAGTGTGATTGGAGTATTGCCCACAAGGGAAGCTCGCCCGAGCTTTAGTATCCAGAGTTTTTTGGGGCTTGGTGACACTGATATAGATGGCCACCTGCATGACACCTGAGTCTGCAGCCTCTCCAGAGGTTGAGTAGGTGCCACATGGCCAAAGCCCCTCCCATACACCACACTGTTCCTGTAGAGTCCCTGGCTCTGGCTCTGAGTAAACAAAGACTCTCAGGCAGGACACTCCAGCCACCCAGAAGTAGGACAAAGGCCATCCCTCCCCTGGGGTCAGGTTAATCCTTTCTGCACAAGTGGTTAAAAGTGGGTCAGATCCCAGGCCCACCTCCAACTGCTCCGTGACCTCAGTCCAATCACCTCCCTTCCTCAGCCTCAGTTTCTGATATTCTAGATGAGAATATCACCATTCACATCACAGGGCTGCCATGAAAATGAAATGAAATCTACAAGACCAGCCCAGCACTCAGTTCTGTGTAGTCTGTGTGTTGGAAGTTAGTACAACTGTGAACAGGTGCAGCTATCATGGGAGGCAGGGGGCCACACAGAGCAACAGGCCAGGGGAGCTGCTCACCTGCCGCAAGAAGACAGAAATGCTCTCCACCCCCAAGGGATCTTGGAGAAGTTCAGCCCACAGTCACATAACCCATGCAGGAAACAGGCTGGGCAGGGCAGGTGCTGAGCAAGGACTCACTCCCTCCTCAGCATGAAAGGCCACACAGCCCCTCCAGCAGGGACTCCAGGACAGCCTAGAGGACACTAACCCCAGGGAGCACCTGAAGACTGACCCAGCCCTTGAGGACAGGGGTGGGAGGACCCAGATCCAGCTCTGACCTCTGGCTCAGATCTGATGCTCTGCCTGGGTCCCTCTGCCTCAAGGTGTGTATCAGGCCAGCCACAAAGATGTGAGCATGACCTTTACCTTTGGGGTAAGCTGTTCTCCATTTTACCTGGAGGTGCGGACTCAAGCCTCCCCTAACAGGCCAGAGTCCTCAGCTGTCTGATCCTCTGACACCAGCAGTTCATCTCCTGACTGGTAACTGCCCACAGCTATTAACAATTATTAACAATCAGCCTGTGGTCTGAGATGACATTGCTCCCAAAGACCCTCTGTCATCAGCAGGCTGACAACTCAGGTTTTTGATCCTGTAAGCTGAGGAGGCAAGAGGACAGCAGCAGGAGTTAACCCACTAGACACCCAGACTGTCCAATTGAGAAGCAACGAGTCCCTTTAATGCGCTCCCTCCCATCCTTAGATGAGTTTGACACTTGGCTCCTGTGAGTGTGTCACCAATGGATGGTGCCAGCCCTCTTCAGCCAAAACCAAACAGCCAAGAAAACTTGTCAAAACTTGTCAAAAACTTGTCAAATCTCTAGTTTTGCACAATGAAAACCACCAGCATATTTTTTCCCAGGTATTTCCATTAAATATGCTTCTTCAGACTGCACTGCCCCACCACACCTCCCCACCACCCCCTAGCCCTCCCACCCAGGGCTTCAGGGCTCCCTTCAAGGCCACAATCTCTTGGTGGTGCCCCTGGCTGAAGGGACATCCATGGAGGAGGAAGGGACCCGCAGAGCACGGGTTCTTAACAAGCAAACCCAACGAGAAAGTATTGGGGCCATTAGCAGTGAGTGATAGGGCAGAGGATGTGAGAGATGGTTTTCGTTAAAACCAACACAGAGAAATACAAATTTCCTGAGTAATCAGACAGTCAAATGCAATACCAGCCACAGTCGTGCCTATTTAATTAGCAAGCAGAGGTGAAAATTACACTATGTAGTACAGGGAGGTTGTGTGGAACTCAGACCGTGCTCTACTCAACTTTGCATCCTGACACGGAAGGTAAATGTTT